GGAAAATAGACGATCTTTATTTAATTAAACTGCGATCTGAAGTTGAGGGTGGAGGGAGCGATACGCTAGAGAAGAGTGGGCAATCTGGTTTTAGGCAGTGGGCGGCGGGGACACTCCTGTCCACCTCTGCCCATCTCTTCGTTCACACCTTGTTGCAGACTGGAATTTCTAGCCATTGAAACTCAAGGAATATCGATTTGAATTTCGAGCGGCGCTACGAATCGTAGCCTATAATCGCAACTCCGTGGATCATGGAACGCGCGGCGGCAGAGTCTATGGAACTTTGTTCATCTGTAGGGCAAAGCTGAAGAATTAGGAATATCCCTTCTGAATTGACAATTCGGTACGGCAAGCTCTCTGACTAGTTGAATACCAGCTAGCCAGTGAGCTTACAGTAGAAAGCGAGAAGAAAGAAGCAAGACAGGATGAGCACATGTAGACTCCAATCCTCAACACACTAGGGCATTGACCAACAGACCAATCATCGCCGAGAGCTGGCGGTAGGTGCTTCAGGATTACAAGTGATACCATTCTACTTCCAACTCCCCGAAACCTTCTCCAGATACAACTGTCTTGACCTCATCCGAAGGGCTCTTGTCATTGAAAGATCCCACACGCTCAGACTGCTCTCAGACTGGGGGGCATAATGAAGTAGCATGATTACCGACTCGGTGTGACAGCGGTCATGTAACTCTTAGTGACACATTCAGTGTCGCCACATTGAAGTCCCGCCTGTCAATTCCACCTATCAGAAATAGGCTATCATCCTCTCGTGAGGACAAGCATAGACGCGATTCCCGGGAAATCACTCATTTACTTCTCACTCAGGTATTGCTATCACTCCCAAGAGCCTATGATAACTCCCTCGCCGTCGCCTGCGAATAAGCGGCCGTACTAGCTACTCCTGCCCTTGACTAGTCCCAGACGGACATCAACCTCGAGCTTACGTCTGCATCGTACCCTCATAAACTCATGTTCGAGCAGTACGTTCGGCCCTTTTCACGTCTGAACACCTGTGATCCTTCACCAATCTCTCATTAAACACATTCACGAAATACTGCAAGCGAATAAGAAGAGAAAATAAAAGGTACAACCACTCACTTGACGCTGAATGACCATGTAACCCTCTGAAACCCACAGAAGCCATGATGAAGGACTTGGTCCTGCGGAGACGTCGCCCAATGCGCGCGATAGTCTTCCTCAAGCTTATTCTGAAGTACGTGGCGCGAGGGCGACGCCCCGCCGCAGCCCCGCTGGCGCACCATTATTACTCGGAGTTCGCTTTTACCGACGAATATGGACTATGTTTTGTATTGTTCTGTGTATCTCTCAATGCGAAGAAATATATTCACAGTTTTCCCCTCTCCTGAGGCCATAGTCACTATGGCATAGTTATCGCTAAATAATTCATCACGCCCGCACGCACTCACGCGCTCACGTACTCGCGTACGAACGGTCACTCTAAGAGTAGACCCAATATGTGAGGCATCTCACTTCTCGGGAGTATTCAAGTTCAGTTGATCGGGAGATTCAATGGGCTACACCCTTGTCATCGTCGCCCTTACCACATGCATCAGTAAAGCGGTCCAAAACAACGTGATGGTTGATTCGATGTCTTATCGGCCTATGGGTACATATGTGGAGCGACAAAACATCTGGGCGGATCCGGAGGATACCTTCATCAGATTCTTTCAGACTAATGGAGCGAGGAAGTACAATCGCGGTGATGTGTATCTTAATGTGACCGATGCCTCCCACGAAGGAGAAATCTTCTTTCCTGACCTTTTAGCCAAGTTCATTGTCAACTTCCGTATGCTTAGCGATAACTCCGCGAGGTTGTATCTGTTCTTCTCTGGTGGCAACGGTGATGATGAAAAGTGGGCTCCTGCTTTCGTTCGTGTCTTCAAAGAGTTCATCTACGACTACGGAACGCCCAAGATGGGCCGGCTCGGTATCAGTTTCAATGTTGATCTTCATGATCATAATACCTGGAATAGGATTTTCGACGCTGCCGATACCCTGAAAGCCAACTCATGGATGGACCCTTTTGACCTTGCGATTGATGTGTTGATAAACTTCAACAACCGTGATGCTCAATTGGTGGACGAAGTCATGTACAGGGCTGATCATGTTACTGTTAGAGGCATCGGGAACTACGACTCATATCTGGATCACTCTATTATGGTCTTCTTTCTCGCGTCTTGTCCCAACTGTACTAAGGATAACTATTCCAATTATAAGGCCAAGATCACTTACATGGCCGTAGGTAACTGCCATGATCCGCCTAGCTGCAGTCAAACATCGATGTGTGCTTATTACAGTAACCGTTCTGATGATCCTAAAGGTGGTATTTTGTATGCTTACAATCAGCTCACTGGGGCGATCGATTACATCGAATCATACAAGTATCCATTCGCCCATTTTTTCGAAGCGGGTGGCACTCATATCATGCTCGACTCTTTCGACTGGGTTATGTGCTTCTACGGTAGCGAAACTTGGGATATGCTCGGCCTTACACGATGTGTTTCGGAGTACCGACTCGCCTCGCAGAAGTGTCGCGCCCAAGGATGAGTTACAACAATTGGTCCATTCAACATCTTCGTGAGTCTTTCCAACCGAGTAGTCCAGCTTTTTATCATTCACATTGACGTATGGGTGTCCAGTAGTGAAAGGGGAGGATCGGGTCCTCAGGACCATCCCGTTCGAACTATTGCCGCCAATAACCACAACGACATAATCTGCTTTTTTTTTCGACTTCAACAGTTCAACTCCATTCAGCCTTGAGTTAGTGACTGATAAAACTCTTGTTACAAATAGATAGTGATCGCGAGCAGGACGAAAACGGTACGTATGCTGGGCGCCAGGTGAAGCGAGCGCTAGGGTTCGTACCATTGACCGGGAATGCGCGCAGCCGCGCTGCCGGCGGGGAACGATGAATTCGCATGGTAGATCTGAGCCATCTCAAGTACATATTATAGGGATTTCGGGCTTATCTGAAGATTGGCGTGGATAGTATGATGTTATGCGAGCTAGCGTTCTAGCTGAAGCAGAACAACGATGAGTGTGGACAATCGCTAACCTGAGGAATGACATGACGAGAAGGGGAATAGCCCGACAATGTGAGCTCGTACCATAATAGGGGTGGATCCTAACCCAAGATAGCGGACCGATACGCAGTGTGGCGGACGAGCATGGCTTGAGAGCGATTTGGTGGTCCAAAACCACGGTTCGTGTTTTTCAACCACGTATGGAAATGCACGACTGATAGTGTTTGTGTGTTTCGGCGCGCATCGATGGCTTCTAACGCACAGTGGCCCACTGTCAGTGGGTTGTCCTCTACTAGTGGATCAATGGTTAATGAAGCCTATTGCCGCGATGTTATGTCTGGTATGGTCCGTGTACCTATGAGGCTTGTAGCACGAGCTACAAATACGAACGTTCTTTTGGGTGTCTACTCGCGAATTATCTGAGCCGAAATTACTTTAGAATTGAGCATTTGGAGAGCGACATCATATTAGTGGTTAGTGTGATGTCACCCTCCAAATGCTCATTTCTGGAGCGGCTAATAATTAGCCGCAAACTGGCAACAATTTCTCACGCTCCTGTCTCCTGGGAACGAAGATCTGATGACGTCGCCAACGAGTGATTGAGTGTGGAGAAGATTTCTCCGTCATCTGTTGTTCGATAAGACACCCAGTGTGCACCGTAGTGAAAGAATAAGTCTTCTACACTTCCAGTTCCAATCTTATCCCGATTCTCAACTCTGTACGTAGCAAGGTCGCAAATCGTAACTTGTGTTACTACGGCTTCTGCCCATCTCGGATCGGACTTCCATTATGGAATTTCCATATTATTTTGAAGGGTGAAATCCTTAAGTGAATGCTCGAGCTAGTTGGGTACTAGCAGCACTACTACTCTTCAGTAAACCGTTCAGAGTCTGCACTGCATCTCTTTTGATGTGAGGGTAGTGTTTTCAAACGAATGAAAGCTTGAAAGCTCGAGGATCTTGATCTCCCATTCATTTGAGTGGTTGTCGCTCGAAATACTGAGTCGAGTTTTCGAAAGACAAGGAACTTCTTTTATTGTATCCGAATGTCTTTTTTCATCGTCACAGGATGGAATTTACAACACGGGAATCAACAATACCGCATTACCCGTTGCTGACCACAGAAAACAGATCATCCAGCTCGTGGTGCATCTATGGTGAGTTTCAAGAGAGGAGATCAGGAGTTAGCATAAACAGTACCTCAATTGCAATGACAGATGGAAATGTTGCACCTTGTGTCCCTACCAAAACCAGATGGACAAGTGAGAACAGCCCGAGAGCTGTCTGTGACATAATGTCAATAATGTGAGAGTTGTTCGATCAGTCTCAAGAGAGCATTCTTCAAACAGCTGGTAGCTGTTGGTTCACGCGCGCTCGTAATCATCATATCGATTGTTCCTTCAAAGTTAATTTCACCCACAATTTTCAATGAACAACAATATATGATGTCGTCATCGGTTAGCTTATTAAAATGATCAGTTATAGAGAGCAGTCTTCACGCCATCTCTTTGGAGAGGCTCAGGTCACGCGCGCTCGTAATCATCATCTCATCCCATATACTGATCAGACGTTTGCGGCAATAGCTTCATAGTGATGACGAGAGGCTGGGGGGGGGTCCACCGCAACAACACGTCACCTCTGAAATGCCGATGTCATCATATCAGCGAGACTCAATACTACCAGAACCCGACAAAACGCAACTGGAAACCAATACAATATCCTTCATCAAATCCGGATTCAAAAACTCATCGGCCAGAAAGACCAAATAGTTTCTACATCA